GCGTAGACCTAGCCTAGGCGTAGGCCTAGCTAGGCCTAAACTGTGATGGTAATGTTAGTAAATATACGTAGGCCTAGGATTCGTTATTTTGATTTTCATCAGCAAGTATTTTGACTTCGAATACACATACTCTGCTAATAGGCCTAGGCCCAATATACTATTTGTGATAGGCCTTGACAAAATAATCCTATCATTTATTCACTAAATAATAAATAAAATGCAGAAATAAAAGCTTATATGTACAAACCAACTAATGCCTGTCTCTTATACACATCTAGATGTGTATAAGAGACAGACTGAGTAGTAATGATTTAATTGTTCTCAAGTAGTCTACGAAAATCTGAATTGACTGTTTTGTGTGTAGAATCCTAACATGGTGCACAGAATACTGTATAAAAGAATGAATGTCCGTTTAGGCTCCTAGTGCTAACCCCATGGGGTAGGGACAATTTGAGTTTTGTTATTCTTTTATTTATTTTATTTATTTATTTAGGCACGCAATACATGTGCCAAGGATTGTCAATAGCGAATATATCACTGTCCTACTTGTAGGTGACAATCCCTTACAAAAGACAAACATACACACACGATGCTTTACACAAAGTTGGAGTTGTTTCGGTCGTGAGAAAAAAAAAATCCTGCAACTGGCAGGAATTGTACCCATGACCCTGGGATTGGAAGGCAAGCATCTTAACCACCAAGCTATTCAACTCCACTGTTATGTGTGAAGGGTGGATAAAGTAATTCATTACGATGAGAGCGCTATTTTGCTTGATTGTATTGTTTTATTGATGGCCATAGAAAGTTTTCATTGTTTATTGCAGGTGGATTTGGCCGCAGTCCTCTTTCTTTACTGTGATTGATTGCAAGTTGTTAATAAAATATTGCAACGGATCCCCAAATTTGTATGTGTCTGCTGCAATTTATTTTGTTCCAGCCTGGACCACTACATTAACTTTTTTATTTTATTATTATTATTTTATTATTATTTTATTATTATATTATTTTTATTATTTTTATATTATATTATTATTAAATTATTATTATTTTTATTATTATTTTTATTATTTTTTTATTATTTTATTTATTATACTTTGATTATATTTTGATTATTTTTTTATCTTTTTTTATCATTGTTTTATTTTTTTAAATTTATTTTTTATCATTTTTTATCATTTTTTGGTTTTTTTAAAACTTTTTATTAGTTTTTTCATTTTTTTAAATTATTATTTTTATTATTATTTTTAATTATTATTATTATTATTTAATATTTATTATTTATTTTTTATTATTTTGATTATTTTGATTATTATTATTATTATTATTATTATTATTATTGATTATTATTATTATTATTATTATTATTATTATATTATGTTGGGGTCATTATAAGACAAGTTTAATCTTCTAGTTTTTCTAGTTTACAACTATCCCTTGTATATAAGATCTTTCAGAATAGGTAGGTAACTTACATGGTTAACCACTTTGAAAAAAATAATACAGGCCCAGGGGCGGATCCAGAATTTGAAAGAAGTGAAGTGGGGGGGGGGTTCAAATTTTTTCAAAAACCCAAAAATGAAAAGAATTTTTAATGTAATATACGTTCGTCAGAAATGTAATAAATAGGGTAAAATCAAATCCCACACAATGTACGGGTAATTCAGACAAGGCGGTTTAATATATGTGATTTATATTGCATATTATAGATGAAGATTATATAAAATAAACATACTATATGTGCATTTGCTGCTGTACATCAAACAAAAACGTAATTCAGATTCAGAAATATTTATTTATTCAGAATGAATGAAATTATAATTAACAAAACAAGCATTGGTAATGACAATGAGAAAAACAGATGAAATCGTATTATTTATATAGGAGTCTATATTTATATTATTATATACCAAATCTGGTGTTAGCCACTCTGTGTGCGCTGAACCGTGAAGATTTCCAAGTTCCCGGTTCAATTCCCATCGCTGTCTCTCCTTGTGTTTCAGCTAGAGACCTGAAATACAAGTTACAATAGCACACCGTCTTTCGGATGAGACGTTTAAACCGTTGGTCCCGTGTACATTATTATTATTAACGACCACCAGAAGGACCCCACTGTAAATAAGTCGTCTTTAGACTTTCGTGGGCTATCCTTGGTGTTTACACCGAATAAATCCAATCCAATCCAATTAATATCCTATCTTCTTGATGTACCGTAGCTATCCTACTCCCATTTTCATTATACTTATTCATATTACGGATTTATTTTGACCATTATATTTATTAAACTCGCCACGGACATTATACTTAACTTATATTACATATTTTAAACTGGCGTCCTTTATTGTAGCCATAATGTTATGCTATGTTTCACTATTTCCTGTTTTTATTTGACTTTTGGTCAATGTACTAATATGTGTTGTTTGTCGGCATACTGTGGGAACGACTAAGAATCTCCGTTCTCATTACAATCCGTACATTGTATTACACAATGGTGAAGCTCGAAAGAATATATTTGTGCGAATATATGCAAGTGAGTTCCTTTTTCCTTTGTCTCAAACGTGAGAGAAACAAATAATACTACTAATAAATATATATATATATATATATATATATATATATATAAAAAAAAAAATATATGTGAAAAAATAAATAATATTTTTTTAGTGTGTGTGTATATATATTAT